ATGCAGTGTTCATCAGAGGGAAGGTGGTACAGGAAAGGGCAGTCTGTCTGGAGGCTTCATTTGTCTTTTAGAAATACATAACAGACCATGCATTGATTTACATTGGATACTTTTCAAGACACATTTATCCATGTGTAATGTTTCTTTTATGTGTGAAAAAAAATAACCTTAACCTCTATGAACATTGACATTCAGAGAAGATTACGTCGAATTCTAAAGCCTTGAAAATTTTAGTAGATAAATATGTGCACTTCTCCCTTTTCATTTAAATCTGCTGATTAAGAAGGCAAGACAGTTTAAAGCCGAGGGCATACTTTTATAGTGTGATTCTTAATGGGTAGCACTACCACAGAGGTCAGTGATCCACAGCCATCTTACACACAAGCCAGAAAGAAGAAAAATCTCTCCAGGTTCTCGGGTGCTTGTACAGTATCTGGCCTCATTGCACAGGATTTTCAAAAACCTGTTCTGTATCCCATCTTCTTTGTAAAGGGTAAAAAAAATAAAAGTTATCTTTGTAAAACACACTCCTTTCTAAAACAACACACCAAATAAAGCATGCAAGTTACATTAGCCAAACAAGCTAAATGGCCTCCTCTTGCCTGTAGCCTTTCCCAGATTTTTATGTTTTATGTAAAAATCCTATAGGACTGAGCAGTCCATCTTTCAAGGATTCATTTGCTGTTCCTATTATAGGAGTCATGCAGGAGATGGTCAGGAATCCATCAGGGTTTATTCATGTTTCCTGCAAGTTTTATATGCGTATCCACGTGTGTCCAGTGCATAACTCAGACAAACATAAGAGATGTGCAAAAAAGCGGTCCATTCAGCTTATTGACACTACTTTGGTTCAGTGACGCAACTTATCCAAAAACATCTTCTAGGCAAATATCATAAGACCCTGCTGTGTGAAGGTTGTAATAATGTGTTTTATTTTATTGCCAGTCTCTGATAAATACCACAGACTTTCTACTCATATCCTCCAGTCCTACCACATTGTAGACTTGAGATCTGTACAGAGATGTAGAATCTAAAACACATCAAAGTTGGAAAAATGTCATATAATCATATGTAATTGAACAAGAGTTTTAATATTTCAAAAATGACCTGAAACCTTAGCTTTAAACAGAATCTGGAATAGGCATATTACAAAAGTTTCCAAAGACTAAAAGATGTTGCACAACATAGGAAAGAAATACTATACTTACCAAGAAAACTACTAAATGATCTGTGTTTGAAGATGTTCTTCCGAAATGCTAGAAATGTCCAAACTTATTTAGATTATTCTGACATGTATTTAGACTTTTTTAAGTTTCCAGAAATGTTCTTTTATCAAGATGTACAATAGCCAGCTACGAATTTATATGAATCCTTCTTTGGGATTTTTTAAAGCAATTCTTGAAGTCCAACCTGTGGTAATTCCCCACTTGTGAACCTTGGCCAGCTACTGTATTTTATGGTATAAACACCTATTTTCCATTAGCTCATGTTTTTATGTCCACATCTCACAACTTTCCACAATTACTGTTCTAAAGTCTAAAATCTAAAAGTAAAAATGTTGCATTTTCCATTCAGCAGCATACACACAGTATATAAATCCAAACAAGTGAAGAGTAATTCCACACTGGAAGCAAAAAAAAAAGAAAGAAGAAAAACACTTTGACCGTGGAATAATTTATCAGGTGTGTTGGAAAATGAGGGAGAGAGTAAGAATACAAAGTTAAGTGGAATAAAAAATAAATACAAAGATTGGTAGAAGCTGTGAAAAAAAACATAGGAAATATGTCATGGATGTCAGAAGGGCATGCCGTGGAATGGTCAGGAGAGCAATAAAGACCCTTTACGAAGCGGCAAAAGCGGCAACACAGAGGTCAAATGCTGTCAGGTAGAAACCTATGCCCTCAGGCCGCGAGGAGGACAACCTGGTGCTAGGCGGGTCACAAGACATCCGTACCCTCAATGCTGAGTGAGGAGCAAAGGGTGACCTGGAAATATCTATTCCCACACAAAGACACACCAGAAGGACAAGAAAAGCACAGGAATCTCGGAACAGGAAAGAGTAGGAGCGCCCTCTAGACTTAGAGGGTGTCAAGAGTGGCTCCTGAAGCCCACAAAACAGTGCACAGCACTAAGGGGAGGAAAAACCTCATTTAACTTTAAGGAAACCTCCGGGAGTCCACGGCTGAGAGCTACCCCCTCCTCCAGGGTAAAAACCTTTACTGAGCAGAGGAAGGGGGGGCTGGGCAGTGCTCTGGGGAGCGAGATAAAAAACTTGACAAAACAAGTAAAAAAGCAAAAACAACTAAAATAAATTGAGGATACCAGGGCGACAAACCACATGAGAAAGACACAACAGATAGGAACCAAGAGCCCAGGGACACAGGGGTCATGGAGACCAGGATACATGCAAACCAGGAAGTGAGGAAACCAAACATTAACAGTAGATTGGAGAGATGGACGTTGGTTGGTGAAGTGATGTAGAAATTGTGTAACTGATTTCTAGAGCAGGTGGCATCACTACCATAGTGGCTGAAGCACAATATTGCTTGTAGAGTTCAGGAATAAAGCCACTCAAAGAATAACATCAGCCCAACTGACAAATATGTTGCCATAGGTCCTATCCTGGTAATCATGGGTGACTACATTTCAAAGAAATATAAATATTTTTGAAATAGTTACTTGTATAGCAATATTCATTATTTTAGGGACATTTTCGATGCCATGAACTTTCATATCAGGGTAATAACACATACATTTTCTATTTTATTTGTTTCTTAAAGAAAGAGAATAAGCCATTCTATTTGAAAAACTGAACCAAATTTGTTCCACTTCTTCTCTTGTAACCTTTTTTTGACAAAAGTATCTGTGGAATTGTACCTGAATGGCAGATGTGTTGTTTCTAGTCTGTAATCTTTTTGACAAAAAGATAAAAAGACAGGGAAAGGCTAAGGTAGAAGAAATTTAAATTACCCTGCTGTCATACAGCATCATGGTGAAAAGCAACATGTACAAAACAATTTGTGCACTATGATATTTTGTATCACGAAGGGCAGTTTATGCCACTAAATAGCAAACATTTGAAGGCAACAGCTAGTTTAAACAGCCAAGATCTATTTTAGACAAAATTGAAGTAGCCAAAACTTCAATAAATAAATCTAGAATAAAACAAGCAAAAAACAAATACACAGAAAGGGTTCCTTAGAGTAGGATGTGCCTGAAGAAATGTTCTGGGGTAAAATAAACCTATTGATGAAATCCCTGAATATAAACTGTGTAGTTCTTTGTTGTGTATTCATCATGCATTCAGGTCAAAGAAAACTTTAAATACTGTATGTTTGCTAGTCTATCTATGGTCTGCCTTAAGTATTTTAATCTGTTTTGTGACTATACTATATCTTATTTTCTTAGGTGTACAGTATTTCCTTTGTATTAGGTGAATCAATCTTACATTTTGTAATATGCACAAAAAGCTATTTTGTGGTGCCTAATTTTCACCAAGTTTGCATTTGGGGTTGAAATACACACAGGAAATACAATGAAGCTGATCTGGACATCTTAGTACAAGCAATTGTACTAAAGAACTGTCAGGAACACATTCTTCTTCAGCTTTGTTGATGTAAAAGCCAGAGTCACAGTAAATCAATATATTTCTATGATTCAATACTGAATCGACACCTGCATTTTCATGCTAAATCAACTTTTACAGTTCAAGGAGGGAAGGAATACATTTGTAGGCTACAATACACATTTTTCTTGCAAATATATTTGAAATTATATACTGTTTAATCTTTCTCTATGTTCATTCCTGAAATAAAAGTACAATAATTATTTTTGTCACATCTACATCACCCACTTAAATTGGAAAGATAATGATTTCTATGTCCACTGCTGGTGTGACATGAATTTTGTGCCCGTTATTTCTTGCCTTTAGTGCAGAAATGTAATAAAAAACATGAAAATGTTTATTGCTTGTATAATAGTTTGGTGTACAAAGCTCTTCCTAGGCGTTTTGGGGTAAATCGCCTTTATCCTTACTTGCATTTCTTTACTGCCTGTAATGTTCAGTGCCAATACGTTAAAAAATTACAAATATGCAATTCACACAAGCACTATAAATTTACTATTAGTTTTGAGGTCCCTTTGTTTTGCATTTCACTCCTTTAACGGTTGCAATATTGTGTCACAGATCTGCAGTACATTCTGAGCTACATTTCTGAGGCAAGGTCAGTAGATTACTATGAAATCAATCTGAACAACAATGCTAGATTTTACAGATGATGGAATCCCCAGAGAAGGATCATTACAAAATGCAATCTACATGGAGGTGTAAGTCCATGTAAAACCGGCACCAGGAGGGATTTCTGTACCCAGGGGGTTGTAGGAACCTGTGGAACATGTTGTTGACACCTGATACACTGGCTTCTTCAAAGAAACGTCTGGATGAGATCATTAGATCAATTAGTAACCTTTCTAATGTTCTTATGAATGGCTTGAAATGAATTATTCACTAAGAAATAAACACACGACTGCTTATTTAAACGAGATTTTCTCTGTTGTTCAATATATTTGTCATAATCGTACGCTCACTTAAATATATGATTCTATAGCCATCTTCTCATTTTAAACAAGGTGTTATCTACAGTATGTATTCAAAACCAAAATGAATCGCAAAACGGTAGGCTCTCATTATATGCATTGTCATATGCCAATAAAGTGGGGGCATAGTTTAATAGCCTTTAAAAATGTAATGCTTAAACCTACAATTTGTTTAGCGGATTTTTAAAATAAAATGATTTTCTTTGTGACTGAGGGATATTGACTATGACATTTTCCCTGACAGACCGAAGTTAAAAATGGAAATGTACAGTTAAATTGCTTTAAACTAGTTAGAGATTTTTAAAAAAGCTGTCCGGGTTCCTTGTCATTTTCAAGCGATGGGAGGGGGCTGGCATTTCTAGTCTTGGTCGGGATCAGTGCCGCAAAGCGATCATAAGAAAGCACTTGGAGAAGACGCACGCTTTCTGATTGCTTTTTTTCTGAATGATTTCCCTAATTTTTTCATCGCAGACAAATTTCATCCGATTTCACGCTGTGTTGGAGAGATTTTTTTTATGTGATGCCGCAGGAAAAAGCTTCTCAACATCTGCGAAAAGCAACAAAAATAAGTTTGACAGCTACCGTTAGAAATTCATTACAGTAGTTCTGCTTTCTTACAGACGCGCAATTCATACTCTGACAATAACCCACATTATGGATATGGCCTCTGGTTGGTTCGCCTGGTTATCTTCCACACATACCTAATCTTAACTTTCTGAATAGAATTATCACGCAACAGGCTTTATATACTGTAGCTGCAAAACTGAAAATGAACACAACGGATCTGCTCTGCAAGTACGACGAGCAAGTCAATCAGACCAACTGCTCCTACACGAACAAGACTACACTGAGGGACACTACGATGGATCTAACCTCTTTGATGCACGTTTTCCCCTCTGTCTATGGCATTCTCTGCACAATAGGGGTCATTTCAAACAGTTTGGTGATCTATGCTGTGGCTACCTGCAAGAAAAAAATGGTCTCCGATATTTATGTGCTGAATCTGGCAATTGCTGACATGCTGTTTTTGTTGGGGATGCCCTTCACTATTCACCAGCTTGTCAGAGACCGACACTGGGTCTTCGGGAATTTCATGTGCAAAGCAGTGACTGTCGTGGATGTGAGCAATCAGTTCACCACAGTGTGGATTGTAACAGTATTGTGTATAGACAGGTAGGAATTGTTCTCCTTCTTACTCTTCAAAAAAGGCAAAGTTACTGCAAGGGGGTTTTCAGAGATGAAGGGCATTTTTCAGAAGGACGGACTAAAATAATTTGAGCAAATGGAGGCATACTGTGGTACAAATATTCTCACGAGTGTTCCATGAAATATATCCTTGGCAATTCATTTGATTGAGATACGATCCAATGCGCAAAGTTGAGAAAATAACAGTGATTACTAAAATTTCTACGAAGTAATTCATTTATTTATTTAGTATGGTTGATTTAATTATATAAAACCCAGGGAAAGCTAAACTTCTAAAAAGAGCCCACAAACAGCTGCAAAAAGAATTGCTTTGGTGTTTACCTGCATGTACACCAAATGTCTCGCCATTACTACATGGGGGTTGTGATACAGACCCCTGTGAATATGGCGTTTGTTTGTTGTAATCAATCTAAATTGATTTTTCTCAAAGATACTGTACATACACTAGTGCGCGCAGGCACAAACATGAAAAGTACTATAACCACCTGTAGCGCACAGCCTCGCGCACCCCGCTGCCTATCACAATATTGCACGACTTACATTATATACAGTATGTATATAACTGCATCAATGCAGTTCATTCCTATATATTTAAATTGCACCAATCTATACAGCTTTCTCTATTAATGACACGATGTTCAGCGTATCGTTTGAATCCCCCCCATTCAAAGCCACGAAGATAAATTAAAATGATAATTCAAGCAGAACCTGCGTGCGTTTTAACAAATAAGACCGCGTTGTGCTCACACCTTGCATGCACACTTTGAAACAGTATTAGCAGCACTATCAGCAAACATCTGTTGCATGCAGAATCTGGTGTAGAATTAGGAGACCTTGTCTGAAACTGATAGCCTTTGTTGCTTGTTAAGTCAGTGAATAATGATACTCAAAAAGATAGCTTGATTTTAGAAAGCATAAGTCTCTCAGTTCCTGATGCGAAACCCGTTTGTCTGTTATACAGAATGCAATCAAAGTTTTTTTTTAATGCTGCATTTTTATTGTTTAAACCGTTTTACTATGCACTTGCCTTTTGTTTTTGGTAATTATCTCCTAAGTGAACAGTATATTCAAAAGGTCTGTGCTGAGCTGTAGGGCACAAGAACATTTTAAGTAACGGAATTGCTAACGTTTCAGTGGCTGGTGAGGTCTTTTTGAAGCTAAACATGGTCAGTACTGAGTTAGGGGGAAAAAAGTGGTACTCTGCCCTCTGGAGAAGAATTTCCAAAATCAAAAAAAAAAAAATCACCAGTATGGTGACCAGTACCACTCAGATGTAGGTGGTACTGTCCTCAGCCTAACATCTCACACTAAGGACTGACTACTTGGTCATTAAAGATCCAATGGCTCTGTTCAGAAGCCTATTCATGGCCTGAGCTTTCATAGTCTAGCCTACATAAATTCCCCCCATAATTCAAATCCTGAAGGAATTTGCCAGCTGTGCAGGGGGACTGCTGGCACAAAATGGCTAACACGTGTCACCCAGGTAGGGGTGAATTGGGTCTCCTCTCCATAATGTGCTTTGGAATCCTTTGAGATGACAAGCACTGTAGAATGCCTTCATTATTATTCATTAGTTATTATTACAAAGTTTATGTCTTTGTTCTTTGTGACTCTTTGTTATTCTAATTAAAATAATTCTAATTAAAATAGGAGAATCATCTACCCTTTAGGAGAAAAGTACAGTGAAATGTCTTTTCAGTACCTTAACTTTTCTCAGTCTGTTGGGGTGACTTAATCTCTGCCTTGGTATCAAACACAGCATCACCCAGAAGATTTTGGAGGTTTTTATTTAATGTTCTGGTGATTTTAAACTGGTGGGGCAAGAACATACAGCACTTAGTCAACCATGGCAGTAGATGATGGGGGAAAAAAAAACTACTGTTTGACCTTTGTAGAACTGAACTGGTAACTGTAATTGAAATTCTTTTTCCACTGAAACTGCTTGGTTACATGGATGGGGGTTCTACACTAGATATGTGGGTTTCCCTGTCCCTTTACTGCCAGGGTACTGGAATAGTCCTTTATTTTCATATACCCATACAAACTGAGCTGTGTGGCTATAGAGATTGTGATCTTCACTGATGCGACTTGTCACAAGCTCCAGCTCAGGCTGAGGCAGCTCTGGAAAGGAAGTGCTTCTAGGAGACACTTCAATTGATTGCAGGAAGGAGGGCTCATTGTGGAACCTTGGACCTCCAGGATCTTTTTATGTTTGTGAGAAGCTAAATGCTCAGAGGTGACATCTTTCGCATACCCAGCAGCCAATGAACAAAAGATCAGCCGGATGATTGGGCTGTTCCTGTGTCATTTGTCATTAGAGACATTATTTAAATCCTGGTATACTTGTTAGCACACTGACACTTTGATTTACCAGTGTGAAATACCCTAAGTACGTGTTTTGTAATGGTGTCACAAATATTATGTTCTGCACTGAGGAAAATACTGTTTTGAATACTAATTCTGAATACCACATTGAGTATCATGTGATTTTATACATTCCCTGAATATCTTTATAACTTTATGAAACCAGTGTAGTAATTAAGTAAACGTTCTTACATGTTTATTGCACAACATATAGAATGCACACAATTTGTGAGACATTAAGTATATATACTTTAAAGACTAATAAACAGATTGATTAATGCTTCCTTTATGCCCCAGGTATCATTTGAGCATCATTCCCATGCGAGCCACATGTCCAGTACTGAAATTATTGATGAACAGAAAAACAACTTTGGTGCACAATGGGGCTCATGTACTGCCTGCTCATGAGACTCGCGCTTCCACTGTGCTGTCGTGTTTATCTCTTTTTTCCGTTAATGAAATATTGCATTGTTTTAGACTACAGCCAAAGGACAAATAAAACTCATGAATCTCAATTTAGTAGCTCCACATAGCTTCAGTATAATCAGCAATTGTTCTCATTTGCATGATAAAATTGCCAACCAGGAACTTCCTACATCTGCCTAGGGATACATTTACACCTCTTCCATCCCTTTGAAATATTTTATGTCTGCTCTAAATACATATATTTAATTTCACCATAGCTGAAAATATTTGATACGGCCTTTAAATAAGTTGTCAACTGTAGCCAGGATTTTTGTGTGTGTGTGTGTAGACCAGGACGTTTTAAGAAAAAAAACAATTTTTGAAGCAGATGAAATGGTCTTAAAACAATGCGCGCAAGAGCTTTGTCTTGGCTAGTGATTTCTTTTCCATTGGTTGGGCTGACAATGAGCAGACAGCTTCCTCACTGGCAGCACAGGCTGCTCCAGTCCTGCTGAGGTGGGTGGTTCTTGCTCAGGTGACATAGGGTGCTTGATCTGTGGGTGCCCGGGCTACCCCACTCCTGGCAAGGTTGGTGAATACCCTTCTGGTGCTGTTGTTTCTCAGAGTCTGTGGTGATAGAGGGTACACTGATGCCTGCTCTGGCTGTTCTCGCTGCAGGCATTCCAGCAATGCTTTCTGGCAGCCCCAGGCAATATGTTGGATTTCACCACTGAACAGCCAAACTCTGGGCCACAGCAGTCCCTAATGCACAACTGACATAAAAAAGGGAAAAGTTAAATGCTCCAAACTTTCTTTTAACAGTGTTTATGAGGCTGCTGACTTCTTGCTCCCTGTTTATGGTGCTGTATTCTTGGATGTTTCTGTCTATCTCGGCGCATGCAGTTTTGGATTTGCTGTATTGTAGGTTTGTGGAGTGTAACAATCCATCTGATGTTTTATCCTCTTTTGTTGCAATTTCTGCAGTGTGTAACGTTTTAGTGAAGGCGGCCTTTGTGTGCAATAATGATATTGCTTTCTGGCGGCTCACCAAAAGCAGTGCATTATTTATTCTGCACAGCTTCCTTCTGAATGGGATTTTTTCTGAAACATCTGAAAGATGTGAGGGAAGGACTCTGTTCTTCAGGTGTGAATGTTCCATGAAATTTTCATTGAATAGCATCCACAGGGAGTGTTAGAGTTTGACACTAGGCTCTCATTCTCACTTTTTGTGACTGTATTTAGTATAAAATGAGTCATTGTAGCATTCAGTTCCTTATACTTATTTAGTCTCCCTATTGTTAAGACTGTATTTAGAGGCAGTTAGGATAGGGTGGTACTGTCTGACAGGTGGGTCTGTTCCCTGGCTGTGACTGGATCACTGTCTGTCAAGTTTATTAGCAGTAATTCATAGGGGTTACTATAACTATAATAACAGTAATTGGAAAGCATGAATTCCTTATTTTGAAATTACATCAAAAATCACCTGCTGTTCACGTCGAAGACTGTTTTTAAAGATTTTTATTCCAGGACAATACTTGCTCCAGGCTTTCTGAAAGTAATTTGATCTCTGCAAGCTTTTAACTCTTTTTCTTTCTTACATGTAACTGTGAAGTATGTTCAAAATGTTTCATCAGAGATCGAGACAGGACAAACTTCACAAAAGTTCAGGCTCTAACATAACTCACCAAAGGGCAAAAATTGTAAATGACAAACATATCCAATCTGTCTAATAGGGGAATGTGTTATTGTACCTCCATGACAAGACATTCCTAATGATGAAATTTCATTATTTTGTGCTTTTATAATGATTTTTTCTCTGTGTAGTAAAATTAGGTGGATACATAAAATTCATTCTAGGCAATTTGTTATGTATGGAATATATGGAAAATCTACAGGTAACCATGTCTGACAGTGTTTCTTTGTTTCTCTGGAATAAAGTATAGTTTTCTGAAATCCATTTATGCTTTTCATTTTTCCTGCATCAGTATGAGCTTAAAGTAATTATGACTTATGTCTAGACAAGAATATACTTCAACAGTTTCAAAAGTCTGACCTTGGGCCTCTAAACTACCCCCTCTAGTACCAGAATCATTCTGGTTCCTCTACATGTAACAAGAATTTTTGATTAAGAATAATGATCCTTCTGGGTGTAAGGGGTCTGAAATGTATCTGAATATTTCGTGGCAAGATGTGTCATT